AAAATCATTCTGAATTATCTGGGGCCGATCAGTTCGATGATGATATCTCAAGGCCGTCACCCTTTTTTATAAGAATTAAAAAAAAAAAAAAAGTGAGTACATAGCAGGGTGTGCTAGCTTCAGCCATCCTTCGAGACATCCGTTAAAATTGGAATGATACAGTGAAGATTAGCATGGGCCCTGCACAAGGATGACACGTGCTAGCTTCAGCCGACTAGGATAAAAAAAAAAGGGGGGGGGGGGGGGGGAAGGGGACAAAAAGAAAGAAACAGAAAGCAAGTACATGCCAGCCCCGTTTCGATGGACAAGCTTGAATCCCACTTGGCGGGGCATTTTCTTTTTGTGCTTTTTTTTGTTTGTTGGGGGAGGGGGTAGCATACTCCACACTGTACCGCCCAGCCCACATCCTATGACCCACCCCACGTGGTACCACCCAACCTGCATAGTATCACCCACACCATGCAGTGTGACGCGCACCACAGTGTGCTGGCCGACCCACTTAGTATCATCCAGGCCACGTGGTGCCACCCTGCCTACCACCTCATCCACATGGTTTGACCCCCCCTTTACATAACCCACATCCCATACAGTACTGCATGCTCCTTGTGCTTTGACCCGCCTCACGTGGTACGCCCCAACCTGCATACAGTGCATAGTCTCAACCAGGCTACATAATACCTTTTGGCCCGCATAGTGCTGCCTGGTCGTGGCACGGGCGATACTCCACCTCATGTTGGCAATGTGTTTTTTTTCTTGCTCATGGCCTCCGCCGCGTCTGCAGCGGGGTCGACTTGTTGAACTAAACTTTGAAAACCTTACCCTGCACGATAACCCTCTCAAGGCTGCATTCGTCTCTTAGCCAGAGGCTGCACTGGAGTCCAGAATGCGGATGCATTAGCCAGAAGAGAAGTGGGGCACCTAATGGCTTGAGGAAAATGCCAAGCATAAATGCTACCATCAGGAGTTATTAAACCACCAGTACGTTTCCCAGCCATTTTTTCTTTGATGCACGCTACAACTTTTGGGGGTTGGCTGCTACAGCAAACTGGCTGGCTGGCCATCCAAGAGGAAGACGTGCGCAGGGCGTTTCAAACCCTGGGAAAAAGTGGCTTAGAAGTACTGGCGGTTGAAGCCCCCCAGTCTGCAAGACTACAAGAAAGGCCTTTGCAGTGACCTCACCTTGTTTTTGTACTGTGTGCATGTGTGTGCTTCTGGTCTTTTGCCTGCGCCCTGCAGAAGGAACACCTGCTGATCCACACAGACAGAATAGGCAATGGTGTAGTGGTGCGACCTGATGGTGCGATCAACCTTGTCATGAACGGGTTCGTCCAGATTTCGTCATCTCTCTATTTGAAGGGTGTGGCACGGAGCGGGATGTCTTTTGCGCAGAGGCGACGACGATCCTCATCATTTGATGGCGCTCCTGTCCGGCCAAGTGTCCTTGTGATGGGAAGGGAGAGCCCTTTTTTACAGCAGGCCATGTGGGGAAGGAGGGGATCCACAACCCCAAGAGGTCTCAGTCAGTCCCAACATCCTGGCCAAACCCAACCAACTTCACCAGTGAGTCTCTCTTTGCGTGTCCGTACTGAGCAACCCCGACAACAGTCGCCACGTTCACCCTCGAGCACCTTATCTCAAAATCTCCCCTTGACCAGTCCACAGAACACAGGAAGGTCCTCATCAACACCAGTGAACTCCCAGCCAAATGTCTCCACACCTCTGCCAGCAGCAAATGCTCCCACCGTGTCGAGCACTAATCTGGGCCCTACTGTGGTTACAAGTGCAGCTGTGCAATCCGCCGACAATCCTTTTGGGCCATTGGTGGCACAGCTGGGTCTGTCAGCCTCATCAATGCCAGTGGTAAAGAGAAGCAGAGAGCAGAGCCCACCCAAGGAGGCTCCTCCCCTCAAATCTGTGAGTGGACCTTTGAGTCCTAGCGGGGCCAGCATGTTTCAGTGGAAGAGGGCCTATCCAGGTTCTGCCACAGAGAGAGGAGGCCCTAAACAAGCTCACATGGTAGCATCCAAAAAGCTTCAAGCTGGAAGACCAAGTATTCTTGGTGCTGACCACCTACTCAACTTTGGAGGGTTCGTAAACATGGGACCAGTCCCGAGGTTGTTCCTCGTTTACGAGGGAGGCTATGGGGTGGAGATTCTCGATGAGACCGAGGTATGGAAGTATTTGGAAAGAAGACAGGTTGACAAAGCATGCACAATTGTGACCCAGCAGGTCATTGGCAGGTAAATGCTAACCCTAAACCGATAGCTGACCACTACTTATCCTTCAATCAGTTGACCACTACTTATCCTTCAATCAGTTCTTACGAAGAAAGAAGAGTGTGGGGGGAGGAGCTAAGGGGTATGGGGCATGTTACGGGGTGAGAGGGATGAACAAGGACCAACGCACTGCGTAAAGAACTACGAAATTTGTACTGTATTTCAAGTGGGCACAAATGAATGTACTGGAGTGAAGCCAACGACGGCCAGGTATATTGTACCCCGATAAGCCAGCTGGGTCCATTCATCTGGGGACACTGAGAGTATCGCAAACTTTTTGCCCCGTTCTCTCCCTTTTCTTTTTTTTTTTCCTTTTTGTTTTTGGTGGGTGCTCACAGGACCCACCCGTACCTACCTACCCATTCTCCCCCTTTCTCTTAACCCTCAACCAGCTCAATAAACTTTCACAAAGTCTGGGGTGCCTTCTTTCGTGATGAGTCTGTGATTTATTCACAATGGATGTGATTGTACAACGAACCTGCAATCAATCCGGCCTTCATTACTCCAGCGTCTCCAACACAATCAACTGGGCTGAGGGCGTCGTTAGACACTCCTCGGGGACGTGAAATCCACAAGGATGTGCTCGTTCCACCAGTCCTTGGGGACAAAATTGAAAAAGAAATGTGAAAACACCACAAGGAAAATTCCTTGTGGCATCCTTGTGGCCCCAAGGGACCTCGTGAGGTCCCTTGGAGCTCAAGGAACCGTGATTCACGGAGTGGCGAAGACATGCATCGACGGAGAGTTTTGGTTCTTGGGTGGTCCAGATGTGGTCCAGCGGCGTTAGCACGGACATCCCCGCCCTCCAACGTCTGTGTAGTCCCCCAACGTCCCCCAACGGCTACTGTTGGCGGTGGGCCTCCATTGGGTGGCGTCGTCCTTTTCGACCGGCATCATGCGGTCTCGCGCGCTCAAGGAACGTATGCGTAGTCCCCCAATGCCCCCAAATGGCTACTGTTGGCGGTGGGCCTCCATCGGGCGTCGTCGTCGTTTTCGGCCGGCATCAACGGTCGGAATTTTTTTTTTTTCCCCCTGCAGCGCCCGCAGTCCATCCACAGAAGAGGTTTCTTCACAAGCGTCGTATTCCCATGCATGTCGTCACATGCTGCATGTCCAATAAGACTCTTGCCTTCTCTGCCGTCGTGTGCTCATTGCTGCCCTCTCCACCGTGCAGTTCATGGCCGACCTGTGCCGCAGGCTCCCTCTGCTGCTCCTCATCGCTGTGCTGCTTCTGGTGGTCCCTCTGCTGCTCCTCGGCGCTGTGCTGCTTCTAGTTGACACAAAGGAGCAAACCCTCAAACAGGGGAGGACGGTGAGCCCTGCCCTGGCTGGCGATCCTTCCCGCCCAATCTGCTCCCCCCGCCCCCCCCCCTCCCCCTCCTCCCGCTGTCCCCCAACCTGCCCCCACCCCTGACCCGGGAAGGACACGCTAACACCCCGAAAGACTTCTGTAGCATGGGAGCATAGTAACACAAGAAATCAACACAGAGAGTGCGAAAGCACGCACAAAGAGGAACACACAATCAACACAGGAAGGCAATCATCGCACCGTTGTCCTGACACAATGCCACCGGAAGGGCCGGGACGCTGGATCCCGGAAGACCCGGCCTATGAACGCTGGGTGTTCCGAAGAACAGCTATCAACAAGCCTGGTGAATGGAAATGGGAAGGGTCAGGTCGTCCCTGCAAATCGCCGGCCAATACAACAGCTCCACGAACGTCAGGTAAGAAGAGCAAACACACACGGGCAGAGGAGCAGAACACCAGACTTCCCTCAACCCAGACCCAGGCCAGCCAAAATCCTGGGAAGAGCACAGCGACACAGGGCATGCACATCCCCAAATTGGGTCAGGGAGTCGTGATCACGGGACAGGACACAGGGCGCCACAGCTCACAGGACACTGGGAGCAAACAAACACCGCTGAATGGACAGGGAGTCGTGATCACGGGGCAGGACGCAGGCCGCCACAGCCCACAGGATACTGGGAACAAACAGCCACCGCCCGATGGAAATACAGATAAATATGTCCCGGCCCCGGGACAGACAAGCTCCCAGCAGCCCACCCAACAGGCGACTTCACAAGGGACCCACTCCGTCCCCATGGAGGCCCAGACTCGACCCCAGCGACAAATTCCCACGGAAGGGACTGTGGAGGCACACACAGAAGGGACTGTGGTGGCACACACAGCGCGGTATGGGAACCGCCAAGGAGACAACTCCCAAGGGACAGTCCCTGGGCGAGGAAATAAGAAGGGGGAAGCCGGGGCATGGGAAAAAGCAGCAGCCCAGGCGAAAGTACTGACAAAATGGAAGGAGAAAATCATGAATATGACAACCCTTGCCACCCCGGCCGTCCCCTCACACGACCCAACACGGAGAGCGGGAACAGGGGACCCGGCCTTAGATTGTAACCAGTTCGCCCCGCTGTTGGCTTTGCAAGAAGGGGAAAGGGTCATGGACGACCAGACAGATCCGGTAGAACCAACGGGCTGCCTGCCCATGGATCTGACAGGACCCCCCCCTCCGGGGTTGCAGGACACGGAAATGCAAACCTTGGCAGGCTATGATCAGCCCTTGGTCAACAATGGCCATAACGATACGGCACAGCAGGCTGACAACCCCCAAGAGACCAACATGCAGATCTGCACAGCCACAGCCACGGAGGCGGGCTATCCACAACAAATGGGCTGCAACATTACAATGTCCCCTGAGATATCCGAAATGCTTCACAGCCACAACTTGCGTGCGATGCAGATCGACCCGCAGGCGGACCATCCACTAATCGGTGGGTCCCAAATAGCTGCAGGATACAACGGCTATCTCTTCTCGCTTCCCTCCCAAAAACAGCCAGTGAAGGAGGTGGCAGAAGCAGCACCCCCCCCCATCGGACAGGAAGTTGTTATGGAAAAAGCGGAGGAACGGGGCAGGGATGACAGCCAGGGGGAGGGCAGGGAGAAACACAACAGACCACTACAGACCCGTCGCCTCTCAAGACACAGACTGGTAAGAGCAAGACTGAAAGTAATCACTGATGCTGTTCTCATGGGATTACTAAAAACTGCAGGACAGAGCAACCAGACACAAATCCCGCCCCTGCATTGGGAAAACATAAGGAGAGCCTTCATGAGCACGGCCTCGGTCACTCGACTTTTAGATGCCACAACAGACCTGACAGCCATCGACTGGAAAGCGGTGGCGGCCCTCATCATGCGGGCGGTGAGCGATCTTTTACAAAAAATACAACGGACCTCCCGACAGGAGCCCCCACAGTCGAGTGAAGGATCCATTGTCACGGCAGATCACCATTGCAAAGAGACAGGCACACTTTCCACCGACGGCATCACCTGGCCGGAGATCATCATTCAGGAGCTGGAAGATGTGATGGGAGACACGAACCTCAGCCAAGCGCTGATGCCTGCTGGGGCAGAGGAGCTGGTACCGCCACATTTGCTGCTCCCTTTACTCCACCTGCAGCCTCTGCAGGATGGCGAAGGCCAGGACAAAAGCGCACTAGGGGATCGTATCCCACTCCGTCTCATACCCACAGCTGTAGCAGCATCAGAATCTGCTGAACCTGACTCAGACTCTGACTCTGGCACAGAGGCAGGATCAGAATCGGAGTCAGATTCAGACTCGGACCAAGACTCGAAATTCAAATGGGACCCGCTCCTCCACTCAGAAACACGACAGCTTCTCAAAAGATCGGTGCAACAGACCCGACTGTCCACACTCACTGGTCAACTAACAGGGCCCAACTGCCCTACACAAACACTGCTCCTTGGCCAGGAGCCCCAGCCGGGATCACTGGAAAGCACACAGATACAGTAGAAACGATCCACATTCAGAGATGCATTGGAGGCAACACCGGTCCCGCCCCTCGACAGAAGTGTCAAGCCAGGGGTAGTGATCCTACCTTTGAAAAGAAGCCACCCGGAGGGAGAATGGTTAATGGGTCTCAGACAAAACTCTCCCAGAGTCCCCAAGCCGGCGAGCAGACTCCTCAAGGCTACGCAGGACACCCCACCAGGTTTGAGACTGCAGGGCTGGAGGGGCACCACGACACAGGTAATGACCAGACACATGCTGCGAAACCATTTGAATCAAACAGGAGACCAAGGGGTCATAGGGACAGTGTTCCCACAAAGCCTCCCCTTCCCGAAAGGGGCTAGCCCAATCTTGGTACTATATGATATGGGCCAGCAAAAGACTCGGCCTGAGAACCAGATAGTATGGCTGTCGCAGCGGGATCTCCTCGACACCTCCACCTCTAGACTGAGGTCAAACAACATATGGTCAGCGGAAGAACAGACAGAATTCATCTTGCACATTCTGGAAGACGCGGCGTTAGATGAACATAGAGCCTGGGATGATCCGCCCTTCATCAACATCCTCACAACAGGGACAACAGCTTCCTCCTGAGGATGATGCCCATGGAAGCGATGCAACAGCAACAACAGAATGTGCCGCCCCGATATCCGTCCCCGCCACGTCCCCCACCTCCGCTGAGAAAACAGCCGGCGTGGGCTAAAAAGTTGGCGGAGGCAGACCTGGACGTTAGATCCATCAATGTGAATGGGCTCGCCCAACCAAATGACCAAAAAAAGGCGGCGCTTTGGGCAATGATGACACAAGATCTGGGCGGAAAATGGCCAGATGCCATTGGAATACCGGAAACACACCTTACAGACTCTCCCGCTCACCGGGACAGAGCTACGCAGGTATGGCCATACACATCATTCTCAGCCCCTGCCCGTTCCTCCTCCTCGATGGGTGTGGCCATCTGGCTCCCCCCTTCAACTAGACTGCAACCAATACAAGCAGAATGGGATAAGGAAGAAGGAAGGTGGGTGTGGGTAAAAGCCACGCTAGGGACTGAACTGGTCTATTTGGTTTGTGTGTACGCTCCTAATGATCCAGCACTGCGAGTTCAGTTTTTTTGGTCACTTCAAAACTCCCTCCCAACAGATGCTCCCATAATCATGTGTGGGGACTTCAACACCACTATCGATCCGAACCTGGATAGACGATCCCCATCCCAACAAACACAAGGAGCAAATCAGCACAGAGACAGAGGTCCAGACAGCATTGTGCTAGACCACATGATGGCAGACACTAGTCTTACAGACTCGTATAGACAGTTGCACCCCACAAAAAGGGCTTACACATGCGTCAGGTCTCGAGGAGTTGCAGGAATCTCCAACTCTAGAATAGATTTGCTTCTCCTCTCACACGACTGGGCAGGATTGCTCACTGTAGCTGAAATTCTACCCTTCTCCTCATGCAAGTCGTTTGACCACCGCATGATAGCACTAGGTCTATCCTTTCACTCCCACATTTCCAGAGGGACAGGGTACTTCAAATTCAACACGTCTCTTCTGAAGCACCACGTGCTTCAGCAGCTAGTCAAGGACTTCTGGGCGTATTGGACCACTCGGAAACCGGAAGACGGGTCGACGGTCACATGGTTCAATGAAGGGATTGCACAACTAAGAGATCGAATTAAGAAATATTCCATTAAGCACGCTCGTCGGCAAGACAACACCTACAAGAATACCTGGATGACCAAACACAAAAATGGAGAGTACAGGCTAGAATCACGAAAGACAACACGGATGGCACGATGTCTAAAGCATTCTTCGCCAAGGTGAAGGCCAGTTGCAGACAAAACACCGTGCCCTCCCTCAAACACCCTTTTGACGTGAAGCAACCGACGGCCACGAATGCCTATAAGATAGTTGAATATGCTTCGCTGTACTACCAGAATCTGTTTACATCTGAAACACCGCAGGTACAACAACAAACTCTTGAACAGGCCAGACACACACTGTTGGCTTCTCTCCCATCTCTGCTGTCCACACCGCAGAGAAACAGCCTGGAAAGTCCCATGACCAGACATGAGATTCTCCAAGCTCTACAAGACATGGACGACGATAAAACCCCAGGCCTGGATGCATTCCCCAAAGAATTTTGGCTGCACTTTTGGGGAATATTTGAGGACGACTTTATGACCTATGTTAATGCTGTGTTCCATGAAGAAACATTCGGTGACATGATAGGCCAAGGTGTGACCACACTTTTATACAAGAAGGGGGATAGGGAAGAAATCAGGAACTACCGACCTATAACCCTGTTGCCTGTGCCGTATAAGATAGTTGCCAAGGCATGGRCAAACARACTATTACCCCTCCTTCCTAACCTCATACATCCAGACCAATCAGGCTTCATGCCATATAGGAACATACAAGACAACATACTGCTGGTCAACGAAACGATACGTTATGCAAGACAACGACAGGCGGAAGCAGCCATACTGTTCATTGACTTCGAAAAGGCATATGACCATGTTAACTGGGACTTCCTGGACATGTGCATGAACAAAATGAACTTCGGCCCGCATTTTCGTAAATGGATCAATGTCTTGCACAGAAACGCCAGAACCAACATTACGCTGAATGGTCACCTAGCCCCCCCATTTCGCCTCCAAAGGTCGGTCAGGCAAGGAGACCCGATAGCACCCGTGCTGTTTGTCCTGGTGATGGAAGCGCAGGCAGCATCAATCAGGTCCAATCCGAAAATCCAAAAAATCGACGTGCCTGAGATTCCACACCACCAGATCCCTGTCACCTCGTTGTTTGCTGACGACCTTACTGTGCTATGCAGGGATGATAGAGAAAGCTTTAAAGCTCTGGCACACACGATCCACCTGTTTGAGATAGCAGCAGACATGAAGGTGAACTGGGGCAGCAAGACTGAAGGCTGGTGGCTAAACCCCCAGGACAACCCCCCACCAACAGACCCCCCGGTCGCCTGAAGAAGTAAGGAAACAGCAATAAGGGTCCTAGGGGTGAACCTCACAGCACTGGGCCCCCCCATGGACCGTGGAGAATCGCTTGTAGACCTGGCTATCCAAAGGATGGCGAAATGGGATACAAAACCAACATCCCTGGTGGGAAGAGCGCTCGCAATTAACAATGCCATCTTCGCATCCATCTGGTACAAAACGGCCTTCTGGAAACTCGGCCGTAAGCAACTCTCCAAACTGCAACAAGCCACAACAGCCTACCTATGGAAAAACAACCATGAAGATAATCAAGCCATAAGAAGGGTTGGATGGGACACTATAACACAACCAAGATCAAGAGGCGGCATCGGGATAATCGACCCGGAAGAAGAAATTAAGGCACTTATTTTCAAATTTCTGGTTCGTTTCCTACTAGGAAACAACATACCGTGGGCTCGGTATGCACTGATCCAAATAGCCTGCCTGGCGCCACCCTCCCCCCCACAACACCAGGTACATCCGCTACAATGGCTGACCAATAACCATTGGTCCATTCCGACCACACCCAAATCAGATACAGGCCTCTCCCCTGCGGCCAGGGCAAAACAGGATCTCAAGATTGACCCCCTGTGGACAGACCTCATCAAGCTGTGGAGGGAAAGAGGACCTAAGCGATTGATCACGCCATTAAGATGGGAGGAGATCTGTAGGCAGCCTCTCTTTGGCCACCCGCAGATCCTAGACCACACTGGCTCCCCCTTCTCCCTGTTGGGCAAAGCCAAATGGCTGAACTGGGTGAGAAAAGGAATTTACAAAATCCAGGACTTGTGGGACACATAGACGGCGGACTGGGCGACTGCAGAAAAGGTCAAGGAAAAAACGGGCCCGATAAGAAACATGGAGCAAGGACTGCAAGAGATCCAGGAGGCGATC